GCTGCCGTCCTGGGGCCGCCCGGAGCGGGGACGGCGCGGGGGGAGCCGCGCGGCGGGCCCGGCCGCCTGTCAGCCCCGGCGCTGCCCGCCTGTCGCCGCGCTGCCGCTTCCCGAGCAGGTTGTTCGGGTCGTTTATTTGCGTGTTTATCGCTTTGGACTGCCTGCGCTTCAGCAGCGGCGTTACGTCCTCCCGGTGCTGTCCTCCTCCCGCGCCTGCGAGCGTTTGATAGCTCGTCCCCCGCGCTCGCCATCACGGCCTGGGTCGAGGTTTGTGGGCGTCCGGGCGCCGTTCCGGGCGGACGCCCCGGGAGGGATGCGGGGTGACCGCTCGGGAGCACGCCGGTGCTGCGGCGGCTCCCCGGGCTCCGGGAGCAGATCCTCTTTCGTCCGGTGAAGCTGCTTCCTGTGTGAAGCAACTTGCTGGAGGGCTAATGGTGCTGTCGGCACCCACACGCCGTGGGAGAAACAGAAATGAGAGTAACATCGAGTTTAACCCTGCCGAGGCCGCGGTCGTGGTCAAATCGGTGCGACTTCTTGGGAAACCTGGCTTTCCAAATGGGAAAAGGGCTTTCCGTGTATCCTTCTTGAAGCTCTTTATTAAAGACTTCAGGGAAGGCGCTGTAACTTTTATCCCATTTTGGCCGAACTAAGCCTAGGCCAGTGCTGCTGTGGCTGTTCACAAAATTTATCAATACCGGAGAAGGAAAATGGGTAAATATAGTTGTCATCTAATCTCTCGCAGGAGGTCAGCGCCTGCACTACTTCAGGCTAATTAGCGCAGGATTAATGGATCATCTCCCCGGTATCCAAATAAGCACAGCAAACTTTGGTTGCCCTTGATGATTCACGCTGGTCTGGAGAGCGGTAGCTTTTTAAAGCGCTGACCGTCCCCCTCAACTGGTTTAGCAGCCGCTTGGCCACCTTCTCCTGGCCGAGGGCGGTCGTTCCCAGGGAGCGGAGCCGGGAGCCTGTGTCCTGCTGCATGTTGGAGGCCCAGGAGCCACGGTGCTCCCTGCAACCAGAAAACTGGTGTCAAACGGGCCGCGTCTGCTGACAGGCCATTAAAATACTCTGGGGTTTGTATCCTCAAATCCGTCACTTGAACTGATAACCCTTGTAGCCAGTGGATGGGGAAAAAAAATTCCTGGATTTGTAGTCATGGGTTTAGTTTTTTATTGCTGCACCCTGAAGTTACGCACATGTGAACTTATTCCTCCTTCTGCTGTCACCTCTCTTCTCCCCTTGGTTTAAATGGAGACTGCCAGGTCGGCACAGCCTCACCCTGCTAAGTTCTTTAATATTGCTTTATTAGTGCTTTTTTTTTAAAAATACTTCCCTCTCTTTGCTACTCCAACAAGTGTCGCTGGCAACAAGAAAGTGTTTCTAGCTGGGAGGGAAGCAGTGCTCGCTCTGCCGAGCCCTGGCACGCACAGACAAAGCTGTGGGAATGCTCCGATCCCCACCGCGCCGTGCGGGGCCAGCTGAGGCTGGGATAGCTCTCAGTGTTGTTGTCAAAGGTCCGTTTAATCTCATTAATCCGGTACCTCAGACCCTAGCACTTCGAGGAAATCACAGGGACTTGTATTTGAGTATTTTCATAAGCCTTTCATTAACTTCTTTATAACTCTTTTTTGTAAAGTTGTTATTTTTGCCCAGT